GTAAAAGAACATAATAATGAAGAGCAAATTTAGGTACACTAGAAATGAGATAGCATGAGTCCATTTAACCGTCATATAATATGTTCTTTAGCAGTAATTAACTAGGAGTTCTTTAATTGAAGATAGTCTCAAACGAAATATTTAGCTGATGAAATAAACATTGAAATTGAAATGAACCTAACCCAGGTCAACATGAACGGTACGTAAACGGTAGTAAACCAATAAAAAAACGGTGACTATACAGAGGTCCGACGATTTTCGTAAACGGAAATCAGTTTACATTGTAAATACAGATACATTACGAGCCGTTTTACAGCGCAACTTCCTTAGAACTGTATACGGCCTGAAAACGAAAAGCGTTTACGCACCGTTTCGAGCCAAGTTTTGGACAGAGTTTAGTATAGCCCCCCACTTGTTATAGACTTTCTCCATCCCTGGAGAAGCCTAAAATATCAAACTGCGAACAAATATTTGCTTTAAGATGAGGGTGAGGATGTGCTTTGTGCATATATCCATGTGGCTTGTGTTGCCCTCTATCGATGTTTTCTATTCGTTTTACTCTTGTCCATTGGTTCGATCTTCATTACCACAGTGTCAATTTTACGTCTGAATTTGTTCAGTTTTTTACATAATTGGTTGGTTACAATGTTTACGTTCACTGATTTAGTTTTAAAAGTAACGAAAGATCATGAAACTTGTGTTACCTGGTATCAAGAAAATGGTTTAATCAGATCAAACAGAATTTGTGATGTATGTGGTGATGATATGATTTTACGTGTCAGAAGTGACAAGGCGGCAATTGAATGGAGATGTAGGACACGACATGTACTGCCTATTGATATATATAGAGTATATACCATATACACCATGTATAACAGTGACCACAAACGAAAAATATTTCATTGGTTAATACATTCATCCAACCGTTATATATATCAACAGACGATGCATGTCGTGTAGAAGTATCTATTTTCTATTTAGATTCATTTGAAATTGTTGGTAGAGTACGAGTAAAATCAATAAAAAAAGGTGTTAGGTGTTGATTTCTATAGTGGGGGGCTATACTAAACTCTGCCCGTCCCCATTTATATCAGATGATGTGTATAAATAGTACTTTCAAACAAAGCAAAAACATAAAACAAAAGTCATTGTTACAGAACGAATAGGGGACGCAATCAATTATGACGGTGACTGTATATCTGAGAAGCAATCGAATCTGATTGAAAATGTGCAAGACTGACAAACAGACAGATATTAATCTTTCAGAGTCTCATTTACAGTTGCGGAGAAATTCTTTCATCCACAAAGAAGGGTTCTCCAACATTGTATATGCTAATTGCTTGTCAAGAAACGTATCACAAGACAATTTTTCAGAGTTTAGTTTTCTTTTTAACTCTTTTCTGGAATCATCAAATAAACTTGGAGGAGCTGGTTTCGTTGATTGAGATTCTCTGTCGATTACATCACAATTCCTAACAGATAGTTGATATACTCACAATTATATCCGGTAATTCTATCACCAGTTGAATTTCCCTCATTACCCATACTTGTTTTCAGCGAACATTGTTTATTTGATGGCGAATACGTAAAAGCAAAGCATCCAGAAGTTGCTTGGCATTCTGAGCAACAGCTAGCATAATCAGGTTCTTGTAAAGGAGAAGTTAATATATCATTTCCAAGTATGTTCCAGTTGTCTTTACGTACAAAACAACTACAGCTATTTCCTGTGAAAAAAAAGTAAAATAAAAGCTTGTTAGCGCAGCTTGTTTGGATTTGAAATGTGGAACTCATGTCTACCATTCAATCTTGTTATCCTAATATATCATCTGTAAACTGAAAACTTTCTTGTCGACTATTGTTGTTTTCACTAATAATCGATGACAAGAGCGAGACTTTATTATTTATTTCTACATTTAAAACAGAAAATGTCTTTGTCGTTTGACAGCGCCTGATTTCATTTATAATTGTTGCTATATACTCGATAATGGTCACTTTTTTCTTTTTTTTAATTTGAAATTATTATTATGTTTTTTCACCATCTGCTATTTCATAAACAAGACTATTACAATAATGCACTTTGTATGCATCAGCAGCTCTTAGCACACTACTATATATCTAAATAAATCCATACATAGTGGTATTGGTTACTTTTCAAACTGATAAAAAGATCGAATTTTGCTTCTCATGTTGATTATATGAGTGCTATGACAGATCGATATATATTACTTCTCTTCATCCTTGATTTTTAACATCAAACTTTAAATTCTAAAAATAAATCAACGATTACACTATTAAGAACTTGGACAAATATATAATAGTTTTTTTCAAATAATTATGAAAGCGTTGAAATATTGTATAGCAGTCGAGCTCATATTCTTCATACTGTTCAATTCGTTTTTTTTATTGTTAAATAAATCTGAAGCCTATTGTGCGTGGCTGCTGATATATGTAATGGGGGGTATGTCTGTAATGGGTAGGGAAGTTGAGCCGCAGAAAGTTGAGCCTAAAACTTAGACTCACTAGTTTTTTGAAAAATATACGTGAATCCCACAAAAGAACAACGTTAATAGCACTCCCCATGCAAATGAAAGAGTGAAAATGGGACTATATTCACTGTGGTTCTATAATTCACTGTGATGTTGCTCGAATGTGTATTTTACTCGTTTCTATTTTGTCCTCATTGAGTTGCTCGTAAGTCTTAATGAGTGAGAAGAAAGCGAGAGTTCAGAGCCTTTGTGCCTAATTTTGCTCTCCGTACTGGAAGCCTGAAAGAAAGTAGTACTGAAATTCCTGTTACTCTATGATAAAACTATACGAATATGGTCTTTTGATATAAGAGACAAATTCCAACTCAACCAGAATATTTCCATGTTCTGCTTTATTTTTCTTGGTTTTTCTGTCCCGTTTTGTTCTTCCTTTCTTGCCCGTTCAACTTTAGTTTGTCGCGAGAAAGAGAAACAAGCGCCTAATTTTGTTTCCTGGATAACATTTACGCAAGAAAGGAGAAGAAAAACTATCAAGCACCATGTAAAGTGCCTCTTTATTCCGTCTACCTGCAATAAAAGTTTCTTGTGTTGATTGTATCTAAGAAGCAATACGTCCTGATTGAAGAAAAAAGTGCAAGAGTGAGAAACAGACAGACATCGATCTTTCAGATTCTCAGTTTTAGTCACGAAAAACTTCTTGTATTAACAAAGGATGATTTTTCTGCATTGAAATTTTAACTTTTCGTCAAGGAACGTACCACAACAAAGTTGTCCAGATTTTAGTTTTCCTCAAATCATCAAGTAAACTTCAATGAGCTAGTTTTGTTTATTGAGATTTTCTGCCGATAAAACCACACTTCAGAGATGGGATCGATTGGCATTTTTTCAGAACCGAACTGAAAAAATCTCTAAACGAACTGAACGCAACCGACCGATTTTTTAAAAATTGCAAACCAAATCGAACCGAGTCGAGTTTAGCGAAAGCGAATTGTATTGTGCTAACTAAAATAGTAGTGCTTTATAAACGACGATTCTTTTATATAATAACAACAAATTGAATAGCAATAACAACGAATTGAATACTAACAACAGCAAATATTGAACATGTAGAGAAAACACAGAATGAAGAAGATTATTCATTAAAGCATCACACTGCATCATAACTTGCTTACCTCTTAAAATCAATCAAAAACTGTGAAATAATATCTGAGTTACGAGCGACATCCAATCGTTGTACGATCATATTTTTTTCTTGTTGTCTCACTGAAAGGACCGATTGGACTCAAAATAAAAAACTGTATCGATTCATTTCAACTGAATCGAATGTATCCGACCGAATTTTTAAAAATTTCGAACCGGACCGATTTCGGTTCGGTTAATAATCAAACCGGTCTCATCTTTGCCACACTTCCTAACAGATAGTTAATATACTCACGATTATATCCACTAATTCTATCGCCAGCTGATGTTCCACCACTACAACTATTTGCTTTCAGCGAACATTGTTGGCTTGATTGAGAATACGTAAAAGCAACACATTCAGAAGTTGTTTCACATTTTGAACAACAGCTAGCATAATCAGGTTCTTGTAAAGGAGAAGGTAATATGTCATTTCCAGATATGTCCCAATTATCTTTACGTACAAAACCACTACATGTGTTTGCTGTGAGAAGATAAATAAAAGATGAATGTTAATAGCACTCATTATGCAGATCGTAGAGTGGAAGAAAGTCACCATATTCAATGTAGTTCTATGATTCACTGTGTTTTTGCTCGAATGTGTGTTGTATTTCCTCCTTCCTTTTGTCCTCGCTGAGCTGCTTGTAAATCGTGAGTACTAATAAATCTTCGTAAGTGTTCAGAAAGTGAGAGTTTAGAGCCTTTGTGCTTAATTTTGCTTTCCGTACTCAAAACTTGAGGGAAATAACATTGAATTTCTGTTACTTTGTGGTAAAACTATACGCAAGTGATCTTTCTTGATCGAAGGAATAGTTACCGCGTCAACTAGAATGTTTCTCTTTCCTGCTCTATTTTCTTGTTTCTTTGCTCTCTGGTTTTGTTCCTTATTTCTTGCCCGTTCGACTTCATTTTGCAAAACAAAAGGGCAATCTTTCGTATCCATGTTACCAAAATTTCATTTCAAGAAAAGAGAAGAAAAAAAGATCCACCGACATATAAAGTTGCTCTTCGCTCCGCTGACCCGTCAACGAAAGCTGCTCGTGTTAGTGATTTCTAGTCACGGAGAATTTCTTTCATCAAAAAAGGAGCTTTTCCGACAATGCATATACTAGCCTTTCTTCAAGAAAGGTATCACTAGGAAGTTATTCAGAGTTTAGTTTTCTCTTAAACATTTTCTCAAATCATCTGGTAAACTTCGCGAAGCTATTCTCGTTTATTGGGATTTTCTGCCCATTATACAACACTTCCTAACAGATAGTTAATATACTTACGAATATATCCAGTAATTTTATCACCAGTTGATATTCCACCACTACCAATACTTGTTTTTAGCAAACATCCATGACTTGATGGTGAATACGTAAAAGCAACACATCCAGGAGTTGTTTGACACTGTAAACAACAGCTAGCATAATCAGGTTGTTGTACAGAAGAAGATAATATGTCATTCCCAGGTATGTCCCAGGCGTCTTTGCGTACAAAATCACTACATGTGTTCGCTGTGAGAAGATAAATAAAAGAATAAAGTTAATAGTACTCATTATGCAGAGGAAAGAGTGGAACAAAGTGACCATATTCCCGGTGGTTCTATGATTCAGTGTGTTTTTGCTGAAATTTGTATTTAACTCTTTCCTATTTTTTCATCATTGAGCTGCTTGTAAATCACTAATACTAGTAGGTCTTCGTGAGCGACAAACTCTGTAGCGAAGTTTTGGAAATAATGTACATCGTAATGCATTATTTTCTATAGAAATTCGATGGATGCAATTATATGATAATGTAATTGCATAAATTAAATCTTTTAATGCATTATAATGCATTAAGAGCTTTCATGGATTACACTAGTATGACTACATCCCTATAATTATATCCCTAGATCTATACCTGTATCGCTATAATTATATACTTTTATATCAATTTTCTTATAGTTATATCCCTGTACTTGTGCGCTTATGTCTTAATCTATATACATAATCTTAATCTTGTATTCCAGTATTCATGCCATTATGCCTAAACCTCAACCTATACCCTTATCCTAATAACTCAAGACCGATATCCTTGTATCTCTACCCGAACACCTGTATTCCAATACTCATACCCTTATGCCTATACCCCACTACCTATACCCTTCAGCAATAATTCCATACATGTGCTCTTATCTCTCTACGTGCTCAACTATAGCCTCAAATCTTTATCTTTATCTCTACACTTGTATTCTTACTGATACTCACTCTTATCGGGGGATGTCCAAGGACTAAGAATTAGGAATTCCTCCTCAGTTCCCCTACAATTTCTTGTGTACTAAAGACACAAATATAGAATATTCACGATAATTTTTGTTCTTACACCCATTTTCACCTGCAAAATTGTGGGAATCAATAATTCCGTGCACAAATTATTTTTTAAAAAAGCAATATCGCGACTGTCGTGAATGGTGAATTTGTGAGGAAACCAATGGTCGATTCCCATTTCCTCTAGAAATTATTACAGCGGCACTGACAATTCCTCGGCAGATTAGGAATTCCTATTTCTCAGTCCTTGAACACTGCTGACCCTTAGATCCATACGCTTATGAAAACATCTCTATATCTAAATTTATTTGACTACACCAATGGATCTGTATTCGCATTTCTAGATGCTTTCCAGTTGAGCTTCATACAACGTTGAACACTGTATGTCAGAGTACAAAACTATATGGCTTAGTTTGAATAAAACGAAGGTAGTTCATTGTATTGAACGAATCGAAATAGTTAACTTCAACGAGTGTTCACATATAAATAGGATAGAAAATGGATGTCATTTAAGAACGCTCTATTGAATTTCGACAATAAGAATTTCGTCAACGAAATTTCAGCAATGTCGAATTTCCGATACAATTTCAAAATTTTTCGAAATTTTACTAGTAGTTCGACAATATTGTCGATTTACCATAATTAGCGAAATTTCTTCGGAATTACGACAAAAAGTCTTTTGACTGGAAATTTTATTGTTGGATATCCACCAGAAATACGACAATAGATAGATGTGGGTGATTAAGTTACCGTATGAGTAAATATCTGGAATGAACACACATACCCATTCAAACTACTTCCCACTTCTGTGAATTCTGTATGTGCTGGAATAGTAGTCTTTCAGTATTTCTGAAAATATGCATTCCCATATGAGTCAAACTGAAAAAAAATGGCAGTATGTCGTCGATCTACAGTCCAGTATAGTACACATTTGAGTAGCGGTATACCGGTAATAAACCGGCGGTTGTCTCCTACTTTATCGGCATAATTAGAGTTTGAATCTATAAATCTGTAGTCGTATGATTCCAGAAAAAAATGTGATTCGATATATGTAGGATATTCGCAAAGCAATTTTTTCGATAAGAAATCTTTATAATTTATTTTATATATAAAAAAATCGTAAGCTGTTTATGAGTGACATCGGATCATTTGTGAGAGAAATGGATTAGGTAATAATCGTGCTTTTCTCAGAAATGATTATATAGATCTCATTAACAAAAAACTGAATCTATATAAATGTACAAACTAAGAGAACTTTTCTATCAAAAATTACTTAGTCCTTTTGTTGCGGAGCCCAGTTTATATATATTTTTCAGAATCACACGACCAGAAACTGTCGATATGAAAGCAACAGTTGTTGATTGTTCTTTTTCCCGTTATTATGTTGACTACAACAATAAAAACTTATAAATTTTATCTAGAATACATTATGACTATGATTAATGTAGTGTAGGAACATAAAAAAATCAGAATGTATCTGTTATAGTGTAAATCAGTTATATATTGTGTTTTCTTTTTTTTCTTTCTTTCCTGTTCTGCTATACATATATTTATTCTTCTCTTTACATTCAGGTATTTCCCACAATCTTATCTTTTTTGATATTTTTAAGGTATTTTCCCTCTTGTTCACGCTTTCTTTCAACTAGTTCGTTAGTATATATAGCGAATGTTTTTGGAAAAATAAAGAAGTTTGATAATCGATCAGTTAGATCGAAACTACCTGTTAACAGTACCGATAGAAAAAAGCAAGAATTATACTGACAGAAAAGTATTGAAGTGAAATTTGTAACCATCATTCCTGTAAGAATAATTTGAAATCAATCCAAATAATTATAGTTAGCATTACTAAGAGTTAGAAGAAGAATGAAAGTTAAAGATTTATTGGATGTAAATGTCTACTCCCATCAAAGAAATTCCGAAGTCACTTCAGACGAAAGTTAATGTAACAACACATTAAGGATCATTATCCGACAGAGTGTGTAGATGTGGATGTTGGTGCAGGTTAACAAGATCTCCATCCACACCCATATCACACCCTATCTAAAATAATCGTTTACAATCATGCTCATGTGACCTCGGTTATCTCTTTAAGGGTTTTCGTTGTTCATCTTATTAAATCGGCATAGAGCCTTCTAATATCGTCAAAGAATGATCTAGGTAGTGACCAACATGTAAAGATGTATTTTTTATGCATTTAACGAGACAGCTAGTGCTTTTTATTACTTCTCTAATTTGGAATAATGTTCTTGAAACAATGTTGATATACACAATACTTTCTCACAGCTTATTTCACATTTTTTAGACAATAATTTTCCCATCTGTTCTTCACGAGAATAATAAATTATTGAGGATAGAACATTATTCTAAATAATTAATTAAAATTCATTGAAAGAAAGTGACGCTTTTTCATAGGCCATCCCCCCCTCCCCCGCACACTTTTTTTCATTTGCCTATTTGTTGATTGACAGTTGTGTGAAGGTATGAAATTACTGAACCAGACCTTGGACATTTTTCATATTAACAAGAAACTTAAATGCTTTAGGAAAAAGTCGTTTCCATAGAAAATATCATACAAATGGGTACTATTTTAAGATTCTGATCAGCAAAAGTATATTTGCATAAAAAATAAGCATGATATTCGGAATTAGCATGCAAAAATACACCAGGAACCCTATTTTTCATTCTAAAAATTTTTTTGTCAAAACTTTAACCTATAAGGGGAGGTACAGGTTAAAGTTTTAGGAATAGATGGCTGCGTGGAAATAGAGATAATATTTTGATGGAAATGTTTTAGAATGAAACATAGAGTTTCTGGAGTAATTCCACATGCTGATTCTGATCATCATGCTTATTTTTCATACAAATATATTTTGATGGTCAAAAACTCAAAATATTACCCATTGTATGATGTCTTCTATAGGAACGGCTCTTTCCTAAAGTATTAAGTTTCTTGCTAATATCAACAATGCTCAAGGTCTGGTCCAGTAACTTCATATCTTCACACAACTCTCAATCAACAAATAGGTAATTGGAAAAGCTGTCTCTCAGGAGGGGTGGCCTCGACGTCAATTCCTTTGATGGATTATCGACCATTTACACATTATTTCTGGTCACGCATAAAAATGCATCGGCATTTTAATGAATTATCAAAAACGTCAACCACATTTTAAAAACTCCATGATAATGCATTGATTGTCAATGGATTGTCGATCATAAAAGTATTATTTTTAAAAACTACATTGAAATGCGTTGGAACTGTCAAAAATAATGCATTACCATTAATTATATAATATTTTTTACAGAATCATGGAAAAAGAGTCATTTTCGCATTATTTACACATTAGCAGCAACATGGGAGGAAAGCAAAAGCTTAGAGCCTTTGTATCTAATTTTTGCGAGCATTCTAAAAACTCAAAGAAAAGTGGTATTAGAGCTCCTGCTACTTTGTGATAAAACTACGTACAAGGTAGCATTTCTTGATGTAAATACCAGGTTCCAACTCTGCAAGAATATTTACATTTTATATTCTATTGGTATCTTTTTCTGCTCTCTCGGTGCATTCCTTCTTTCTGATCCATTCCACTTTATTTCACAAAACAGAAAGGTAAATATTTCATCTTTCATGTCACCGAAAGTTTGTAGCAAGAAGCCCATCATTTGCTTTCTTGAATAATCTTTCTGCAAGAGAGGAAAAGAAAAGAACGAGCTACTGACACATGTAAGAAGCAATCGAATTTGATTCAAAAGCTGCAAGGCTGACAAACAGACAGACATTAATCTGTCAGACTCTCATTTTGAGTCACAAAGAATTTCTTACATTAACAAAGGAAGATGTGCCGACATTGCGTAGGCTAACTTTTCGTCAAAAAACGTATCACAACAAAATTGTCCAGATTTTAGTTTTCTCTCAAATCTTTTCTCGAATCATCAAGTAAACTTCGCGGAGCTAGTTTCGTTTATTGCGGTTCTCTGCCGATTACACCACACTTTCTAACAGATAGTTGATGCACTCACGATTATATCCAGTGATTCGATCACCAGTTGAGTTTTCACCACTACGCATACTTGTCTTCAGCGAACATCGTTGACTTGATGGCGAGTACGTAAAAGCAATACATCCAGAAGTTGCTTGGCATTGTGAGCAACAGCTAGCATAATCAAGTTGTTGTACAAAAGAAGTTAATATGTCATTTCCCGGTATGTCCCAGGCGTCTTTACGTACGAAACCAACGCACATATTCGCTGTGAGAACATAAAGAAAAGAACAATTTTAGTAGCACTGATTATGTAGATGAAAGTTTCGAAAGAAGTTAGCATATCCACTGTGCTTTGAATTCTGTCGTCACTGAGCTGCCAGAGAATCGTAAATACCAGTAAGCCCTCGTGCGTAACAAGAAAGCAAGAGCTTAGAGCCTTTGTGCCTAATTCTTGAATTGTATTCTAAACACTTGAAGATAAGTAGCATTGAAGTCCCTGTTAATCTGTGGTAAAACTACAGAAAAGTGGCCTTTCTTGATATGAGGGACAAGCTCCAACTCATCCAGAATATTTCCATTTTCTGCTCTATTTTTCTCTTTTTCTGCATTGTCATTTTCTTCCTCCTTTCTTGTCCGTTCGACTTAATTTCGTAAAACAGAAAGGAGATTATTACATCTTTCCTGTCACCGATGATTTGTCGCAAGAAAAAGCAAGAAGCGCCTAATTTGTTTTCTCGGATGACGTTTCTGCAAGAAGCAAAAAGAAACAATGAATAATCAAGATACAAAGTGCCTTTACGTTCTGAAGTAGTGTAAAAATCAGATGCTGTCCGGCGCGTAAGAAAGGTTCTGACTTTGGCAACGAAACTGAAACTTTTTCAAAATTTCGTACAAATCAGACTTGACGCAAAACCAAAGCTATCTTGCTTCAAAAACAGCATCATACTGTAAATTTTGTACCAATTCCAACGCCACATGATTGAATCTGTTTTTATATGAATATGCGTATCTAGATCGATACACTACTCGCTGTAACATCTGAACATATCGCCTTAATCTATTTCTAGCCCTTTAGACTCACTTCTTGGTGCATGTATGAACGCTTACGGTCATCATAAGCGTTTATCTAACCTCTTATACTGAGCATTTTTCTGTAGCTATACTCTGAATCTATCTTCTTAGCCTATTCGAATTAGTTGGTGTATGTGCACTCATGTCTACACATCGTGGCGGTTTAAAATAACAAGACAACTTTGAAATATAGACATCACTCACAGGATCTCTGAGGTTAAGCAACGACCAATCATTCACTTATGGTGGAGCTTCAAATCTACATCTTCGACATCATGCTGTTCGTTAATACGAATGGTCAATAGGTCACTCAACGATTAAAAGGATAGTAAAGCTGCTTTTTTTTCTGCTGCAATATTATTGGAAACAATAAATAATAAACAGATTTGCGTTAAGATGATCCTGTTTCAGTGAAATTTTTTCGGTCAGAATAGTTATATGTGTTGATGATCAAAGTTTTTAATTTACTGACAGCATGCAAGTTTGGTGTATCGGACCTCTCAGGACGCGCAACTCTGAGATTTTGAAATTCGTATAAAGAATTGCATCTCTCTGATCCTCACAATTTTCGGTCAAGTTTTATAGGAATAAAGTTATTTGCAGACATCAGACGTTCTTCAACCTAACAAAGTATAGAATGAAATAGTGTAACTCTCATGACAACCACTTACTGACACTCTTAACACAAAGTAATCAGCGTTTTCGCAAAAATAATTTACACTTAATATTAACACCTCCTTCTCTGATTGCTGATTTTGGGTAAGGAATATTCAAATCGAACCAACTTTGTAGAATATGTGTAAGCTGCTGTGGGCAAGTCTTACTAAAATTGTTTAGCTGTATGCTATGAAACTTTTGGCAGGTATGCATGAGGCAAAGTTCTGGTGTAGCTCGTTTCATCTCTGAAGATCATTCATGGTTCTCTATTCTATATATTGTAACTCGTGGCGCACAATAACTGAGCCAAACCAGTTTGCTCTGTTCAGGACACCGTTATCATGCTGAAGACTCCGTCCTAGGCTCATTCGATAGAAAATCTTCTGCTCTTTTAAATTCTAGACGGTCTCTATATATATACTATTTCAGAAGTTATCCAGAGCGAAGACGACCACAAAATTATATCGCAATTACATGATCAAGGCTTAATTAGTCGAAAAATTGTGAAATGTTTTGATGGTGAAGAAAGTAAAACAAAACCTAATAGATGGATTAAAATATTCGAGAATCTGATGATTTTGATTTGAAAAGTTCATCTGGTCGAAAAAGTCAAAATAAACCAGAAGATTAATGAAACAAATAAAAGCTAACCTTCTACGAACTAAAACGACAATGTCAAAAAAAACTTCGCTAAAGTGTATGATGTATCAATAAAAACAATGCTACGTTTACTTAATGATGATCTAGGATACAAATCATACATCAAACATGCCGCTCCTAAACTTACGGACGGTCAAAATTGCAAAAAAGGATTTTCATTTGAATTTTGGGCCAGAAAAAGGCCAGATAATCGTTATCAGGAAAAGTTTTATTTTATAATAAGAAACGATTTTGATATTGGCGGATGGATATAGCGATAGACAAAACAACAATATATGGGCTCCAAATCGTCAACAAGCTGGGTGTGGATGTAACTGTTGATGACTATTTTCTTCTGTCACACCCACATTTACACCCAAACCCTCGTTTCTTGAGATTTTCTGCTGATTACACGATACTTCTTAACAGATAGTTCATACACTCACGATTATATCCAGTAATTTTATCGTCAGTTGATGTTCCACCACTACCAATACTTGTTTTCAGCGAACATCCATGACTTGATGGCGAATAACTAAAAGCAATACATCCAGAAGTTGTTTGGCACTGCAAGCAACAGCTAGCATAATCGGGTTGTTGTACAGAAGAAGTTAATATATCATTTCCAGGTATATCCCAGGCGTCTTTGCGTACAAAATCACTACATGTGTTCGCTGTGAGAAGATAAATAAAAGAACAATATTAATAGCAATCGTTATGCGGATGAAAGATTTGAAAAAAGTGAGCATATTCACTGTGTTCTTGCTCGAATGCGTGTTTAACTCTTTCCTATTTTGCCCTCATTCAGCAGCTCGTATATCGTAAATCGTGAATACTAGTAAGTCTTCGTGAGTAACGATCTAGCGACAGCTCACAGTCTTCATGCTTAGTTCCTGCGTCGCATTCTAAAAACTTGAAGGAAAGTAGCATTGAAGATCCTTCTTTTCTGTGGCAATACTACGGAAAGGTGACCTTCCTTGATGTAAAAGAACAAGTTCCAACGCAACCAGAATATTTTCATTTTCTACTCTAGTTTTTTTTTTTCTTTTGGTGTCTCGTTTTGTTTCTCTTTATTCCCCGTTCAACTATATTTCCGAAAAAACAGAAAGAAGAATATTTCATATTTTTGGCCACGAAAGGTACGTCGCAAAAAAAGAGCAAGATGCACCTAATTTGTATTTTTGGATGACTATTCTGCAAAAAAAAGGAGAAGAAACAATGAGCAACCGACACGTAAAGTGGCTCTTCCTTTCCCTTATCCGCCAATGGAAGCTCCTTGTATTGATTTTATGTATTTAGAAGCAATCAAATTTGATTCAAAAGCTGCACGACTGACAAACAGACAGATATTAATCTGTCAGACTCTCATTTTCAGTCACAAAGAACTTTTTACATTAACAAAGGAAGATTTTTCGACATTGCATATGCTAAATTTTTCGTCAAGAAACTTATCACAATGAAGTGGTCCAATGTTCAGTTTTCTCTTTAAACCTTTTCTCGAATCATCAAGTACACTTCGAGGAGCTAGTTTCGTTTATTGAGATTCTCTGCCGATTACACTACACTTCTTAACAGATAGTTGATACACTCACGATTATATCCAGTAATTCTATCGCCAGTTGAGTTTTCACCACTTCGAATACTTGTTTTTAGCCAACATCCATGTCTTGATGACGAATACGTAAAAGCAACACATTTAGGAGTTGTTTGACACTGTAAACAACAGCTAGCATAATCAGGTTGTTGTACAGAAGAAGATAATATATCATTTCCAAGTATGTCCCAGGCGTCTTTGCGTACAAAACTACTACAGTTGTTTGCTGCGAGAAGATAAAAAAAGAATAATATTAATAGTATTCATTATGCACATGAAAGATTGGAAGAAGTCGCCGTATTCACCATGTTTTCCTCTAAATACTTGTTTTGCTGCTTCCTATTCTGTTGTCACTAAGCTACTTGTAAATCGTGAACTCTAGTAATTCTTCGTAAGTGACAAGAAAGCAACAACTATGAACCTTTCTACCTGATTCTTGCGTTGCATTCTGAAAAATTGAAGTATTGTTCTATCGAAGTTCCTGCTATTTTATGACAATACTACACGAAGGTCGCTTTTCCTGATGTTAGGATTTGTTTTCTTGGATAAGGTTTCTGTAAGAAAGGAGAAGAAAAATTATCAATCACCATGTTAAATAACTCTTTGTTCTGTTTAACTGCAATCATAGTTCTTTGCGTCGGTTGTATCTAAGAAGCAATAGATTCTGATTGAAAAAGTAGTACATTGACAAACAGGCTGACATTAATCTTTCAGATTCTCAGTTTTAGTCAGAGAGAATATCTTGCTTTAACAAAGGAAAATTTTTCGACGTTGCGTTTTGAAACTTTGCGTCAAGGAATGTATCACAAGAAAGTTGTCGAGAGTTCAATTTTGTCTTAAATTGTTTTGAAATCATGAAGTAAACTTAGTGGAGCTGGTCTCGCTTATTGAGATTCTCTGCCGAATAGACGATACTCCCTAACAGAGCACTGAGACACTCACGATTATAAGCAGTGATCCTATCGGCAGTTGAGTTGCCACCACTGCCCATACTTCTTTTCGGCCAACATAGTTGAGTTGATGGCGAATACGTAAACGCAATACATCCAGTAGTTGTTTGACACTGTTTGCAACAGCTAGCATAATCAGGTTCGTGTACAGGAGAAGGTAATATATCATTGTCTGGTGTATCCCAATCGTCTTTACGTACGAAACTTGAGCAATTCTGATCTATAGTAATTGAGAAAAGAAAATAGTTTTCAAAGCAGAGATTTATTTGGCTTAGGAAAGATATTCCATTTTTTGAATGTCTTGGATTCAGTTAAATGTAAATGTGAGCAATATATCACGTGGATCAATAGGACGTATCTTAATAGAATACTAGTGAAACTTGTGATAGCTTTGGGTTAGATTCATAGATATGCAGCTAATCAAAACTTTACCTATATTGAGAATCTGAAGTATCGGGTTTTTAATTTATGGTCTTCAAGGAGTTACTTGAGTCGATAATGTAGGAAGAAAATAGGTTCTCAAGCTCTGTTGCTGCACAAAGCGTTATAACCCTTTTCAAGGTGGAGTCGCACTTTTGCGACACAACTTTTAAAGTGCTAATTCACCTCTGAATAAGACTCAATCTACGTAGCTGCAAGATGGGTTTGTTGATTATATGATGGAAGTTTTCCCAGTTCAAATTGTTCTATGTAGATCTTGGGAAACGCAAAGTGTGCAAGGTGGGCTTTGGGTGTTGTTCACTCCATTGTAGTCGCTGAGGACTTTGAAAGGTTTTTAGAAATAGTGAGAAGTTCACTTTCCTAATATTCCATTATGGACTATTCAGATTCGCGTTGGAGTCTAGACTGTATGGGAGAGTTTTGCTCAAAAAATGTTTTTGGGGTGATTTTGATGGATATTTAGTTAACAGAATTATTCTAATGCATGCTCTCTCACAGAAATCGTCATCAACTTCAGTAAATTTGGTGAAGGGTAGACAACATCCGCTAAAAACGAGATATTATTCCATTTACAGTAGAAATGCTTCAGCTCCCATATAGTCAAGCAGATGTGCTTTTCAAAAGACAGAATACATTCTCTATAGAGCTATTTGGAGTAGAAATTCTTGATCAACTTCTACTTGCATAAGGAGACTTCAAAAGATACAAGGAGATGTCATTCATTTTCTTTTTCATCTTATAGATAAATTCTAATAGAAACGGTATTTTTCCAACAGAAATATAACTATTACAAGTAGCAATGCTTCATCTATTTCTATATTTATAAGAAGAAGTCAGAAGACATTAACAGATATCAAATGTAAGGACAGTAAGTGATAGATGTATCTATTTATTTTAACTTTTCCATTTTTCCTTGTTGTGCATGAATTTTGTATGGGGTAAACTATTTTTACTTGAGAAGCAACAATTTCCCGATCGATTGATTCTATTGTCTACCGCTAAATATGGTTGAATATAGGAGTGTACAGCTCACGCTTACGCGCACATGAGCGTTTTTTTTTACTTCGAATATGCCAGTCACCTTTCAGATTTAATCCGTTTTGGTTGATATTCATTAGGGCTATAGAGCTCACCCTTGTGAGCACTCATGAGTCTCAGTTGCACACTGTCACTGTTGAGCAATCAGATGCGTGGAAAATGTTTCTCAGCTATAGTAAAGACAAAACGTATTGTTGTCCCGGTCATATGCAGAAGGACATAAAAACTCCCTCATCAAGCCGAACAACATTTTTGTGTCCTCAAAATAGAAGAGAGAAACTGCTGAAACATGATTGACCACATAATAGAATTATTCGAGCCGATCAAGGGTTCCCTTTTATATGGCCCCAACAACAATATATGTTGCCCTTAAAATAACTGAGAGACAACTTTCACACATCTGATTGCTCGATAGTGCGATTTTGTTGCTGAGATTCATAAGCATTCACGATGTTGAGTTCTGCAGTCCTAACGAATGTAAGCGAGAACGGATTGAATCGTAAATGAGACTTGCATATTCGAAGTATTGAAGAAACGCTCATGAGCATGAGCGTGAGCTGTACATTCATAGTTTGATATGACAAAAAAACATGGCTACGGTCAATTCTTTAAAAAAAGACATGCAAGAACTCGAAAAGATCTATATCGACTACTACAGAAAAATTTGTTCCTTTAGATCACTAAGGAATCGTCTACGGAACCAGACTCTTGATTTTCCATTACTGGTTACAACTTTGATCTATTGCATACTTATTTCTATTTCGCATTTAGATATGCTAGGGAATCTAATGATGATGAAAAAGTGAGAAACTCATACTTTGCTTAAACTTCATCGTACTCCAAGGATATGTCAAATCTATGCGTTAAAACTACTTAGCTATACAAAATCTATCATCAATGTTTGCCGCCAGCATATAAATTTGAATTCATTTTATTTAAGTCTCTTTAAGATTAAAACCGTGAAACTTGAGTATACTTCAACATTTGAGTATCAATGAAGCATAATAAAGTATTTGGGCTTTATTACCAGACAGATTTATTTAAACTTAGCTCAAATCTATATTCATGCGATTTATTTCGATATTAGATTTGGCATTCACATAGCCAAGAGATTATACAGGATAAAGCTGGCATACCGTTGAAGTATGGTGGCGAACGAAATTTGCACATTTTCTCTCTCAGGAAAACCTGATCCATTTTAAGTTTAAATACTGTCTCAACTTCTACTGTAGAACTGTCACAGGTGATCGTATGTTCTTCTTTCTTCACCATGTCAGGCATTCCTCGAGCATTTATCACATGCAAATAGTATTCGTTAAGGCTGAAGAGTGAAGTCTGAAATAGTTCTGCTAAGAATCTTCTCTCATGAAAGCAATAAATGTGTAATTTTCTAAAAGTACATTGCCGATAATCTCGCATGGCTAAATTCTTACTATCCCATACATGTTTGGCGTTGTTTTCGTATACCGGTACCACTGATTGAGACTGATAAAGCTATGCAAAGCCTTTGTATCATAAATGTTGCTTACTTTCATTTCAAAAAGACTTACTCCATGTTCTTATAACTAATGCACCGCGCATAGTCACATATGTCTACGCATTCTCTTATTGTAAACAAATCTCAAGCCATTTTTCTAAGACAATGTGTTGATAATTGTGCGAAATATTTAAATAAAATACTCTGGACACTATCTTGAAAGCGAAGCCTCTACAAAAAAAATAAATGTAGCGAAATCAAATTATGTAAGACTTCTCTAGATTTATTCCTCATATTTTTTCCAGATATTTTGGTTCTTTCTTTAAGAACTAGATATTCTTTTTATAGATATTTTAATCCTAGCTCTCTGGACATATTTCATATGTCCCTCTACTTGTACAAAATGGCGCGTAACTTGGTGCAAGAAATGCTAGTACATCATCTATGAACAAAAGCATACTATTTTTACGAACTAGGATTCGACGCCATTCACTGTTTGAAGTTCAAACATTGATGGTATTTTGATAGAATTAAAAGTAATTGGCGTGTGCCCGAAAAATAATTGAACATTCTATCAGATCATACGAAAAAGTAAAAAGATTACAGATCGTATGGAAATGATTCAATTGATAAGGAACGGTCAGAGCTTTGAGATTTAAGTGTCAGTCGTCTTTGCTTTGTCTGTGATGTGAAAAAAAATCACAACGCCTACCTGATGCATTATGAGTAGACCTTGATCCAAGAGTAGAACCGAGAACAACTGCTACGATTATCATAGCTGCCAATAAGCTGACTGGAACGATAAATCGCTTCTTGTTATACCAACGACGTCTTGGTAGTCTAATAAAATGTTCCATCAAAAATACAATTAAATAAAAATGTGTTGAGACTTACTCAGTTTTTTTCGGATAAAGACATGCACCTATATATACAAATGTTTCAATTCAAAATCAATCATTTAGAATATTCGACATGTCTTACAACGGAGTTGTTTATGTTGTCAGTCAAGAAGATGACATATATTCGGGTCAAATGTAAACTCTGACTGATAAACTCTTACAGATTTAAAATATAGGTTGCTGTTAATGTGTGCCGACCGAGATATTCAAGTTTTAAGGTGTGTAAAGTGTATGTAGGGTGACCACAATCCAAAATTTCATCAGAATTTTTTATCCGTTTTCTTGATGGTACGACAGAGCTCGTCAAGTTACAGTAGGAAAAAATAGTTTTATATTTTCGAAAGAGATTCAAAGAATCTTAGACCAAAAGTTCAGGTTGCTGTGGTTTTCAAAAATAACAGGAACTAGACCCAAAATTTTCAACTTCGGATATTTTCTAAAATCTTTTCCTAAAATATGAAACATATTTTTTCTAATGTAACTCGAAGAGCTCGGTCGGATTTATGAAGACAGCAGAAGAGAGAATTCCGCTGAAATTTTAGATTATGGCCATCCGAAATGAACTGTACACACCTTAAAACTTGAATATCTCGGTCCATGCATCCCAACAGCAGCCTATATTATAAAATTTGTAAGTTTGGTGGTCAGAGCTTCAATTTTACCTGACTATATCTAATCTCCTTATTTGACAACACAAACACTTCCATTGTTAGTAGCAGAAGACTTAGACATAAAGCAAGATAAATAAAGTTGACTGATTGCTGCATATAGTGATCTTCGGAGAAAAGCTGATAGAAACGAAATTGTAGCACTTTAAACTTCATTCAGGTGTAACTAATATTACAATATGACATCAAACTGCTGTCGTTAAGACTCATCGAGCATTCACATATAACCTATAGGATATGCGAAAAGTCACTTAGCAAAAACATTGTGTGTCTCCTCCATATTTTCATTGAATTAGCTTAAGTTGTCAAACGATTTGCAAAAGCTTCGAAGTTGTATTCATAAATCAACGGATTATTGATACATTTGAAATCTAGTACTACAAGTTTCAAAGCAGAACTTAACTTTTCTTCAGATAGTTACATCGGTAGTCTATCACCAAATAATGAAAATATCTGAATTATTTTGTCAAGCACTTTTCGTTGATCATTTTAACAAAACTAACACTCTATTTTCATCGGTGAATGACGACGCTAGGTTCAAACTGCTGAAAAGCAACAAATCTCTCTGGAACTTCACAGGCCAGGAATCATTTTACCCAACACCTTTATTTGTTGATGAATTTAGAAAATATTTTCAATGAAATAATCAGAGAAAAAGCCTCTACAAAATGGAATCTGTCAAAAAACTTTCCGATACGTTTTGCAATTTTATGGTTGATAGTCCATGGACGTACTCTACCAAATCTTACCTGTACTTACGTGAATTCATCAGAATTTTTCTTTGTAAGAGCATTTAGAGAGGATTTAGTAAAGCCTTTTGAGAAGCTAGAAAGGTTAATACAAATTCAATCATTGCAACTAATATATTTTAAATATTGAGAAAATCGATAAAAATAAAGAATTTCAATGGTCTGACGGGCACTTATAAGGTTTCGCTCATCTTCGGCGAAAAGTCTTATTTTCTTTATGTTTTGAATAGACAAAACTACTTCTCAATAATGTTACTAATTCTTTTTAACACATGGATAATCAGTTGGAACTCTTCTCTATCATCAGAGAAAACGTTCATTTTGTCAAAATAGTGTGAAAATTACAATTTTTTAGATTCGCGACTATTTGGATTTTCTGTAAATGTTTCATTTTCCAGTATTTTTCTTTTATGGTGATTAATATATCATTTGTTAATGTGGACAGATAAGACATAAATCGTGATTCATAATAATATAACCAAAGGCTCAGTGATCCTCGCTACTTATATATAATAGATCCGAAGTTAATCTGATTATCCTTTTAAAGCTATTTATTAGTTAATCGAAAAATCAGTCTAAACTATAAATTTTATGCTCCCTGAACTTCGAATAGAAACTCATGCATATCTGATCAACATGAATTATATTCATAGGTCACTTACATGCATAGAGCTGCAGGATAGAGCGTGCGATTAAGAGACAGACAAAAATATGTCATACGACATATGTGTGATGGACAAGGACATACACTATGTTAAAGAAATGCAGAATATGCCTTGTCAGAATGATCATATTTTAAGAGAGTATTTTTAAAAAAAGCACTTGCACAATTCGTATGGGATCTAGGCATTTGAAAATAACACAATAGAAAGTCTTCGACATAAACATAGAAATGACATGTAAATCATCTATGAATTTGGCAAGCAGCTATTCACTGTGTTACAGAGTTAAAAATGACTCTTGATTGAAGCCGAAAGTTGTAAAATTTTAAATCTACTAATATCTTCAAATCATAATTTTTACAACAAACATGCTACGGCTTCTTATCTTTTAGCTCTTGAACATACCTTCAAAGGGAGGCTCGAGTAAAACATTGTCTGGTATCATCTGTTTCAAATGAATGATGTGGAGATCAGGCGCTGGATTGAATTGTGATTGCACTTCCATGTATGTTCCTGGCAGCATTAGCATTTCGTCCTCATTGCGAAAGTATGAATGATCTCGCACATCCTTAGCATTGAAAACCTCGATAGAGAAAAGAGTTCTCGGACCTTCATATCCCAAATAGAGATCATTCTCTAACACAGGAAGCGTTGTTGTGCAAGATGAGAAACTCCACCAGATGACTGAAGTTCCTCGCGGAAATTCGAGACGAAGATCTTTTCGTATCCCACGCCAAACCGTTTGTTGAGGTGCAAATGGTATTTTGACCAAGGCAGTAAGTAAAAGTTTTAGATACTTGAACCACGGTTGTAATTGTTCGGGATCAGCTGTTCTAAGTGTTTCATTAAGAGCGGAATAGAGACTTCTATGTTCATCTTTCCATTCCGTCGTATAGAGAAAAATTGAAGCTGATTCGTCGCGGGTTAGACCATCTGATGGATAATCTGGAGTGTGTTCCAGAGCGGTCGAAACATAAGCTAATATATTAAAAATAATAGGGATCAACGGTATGCATGCGTCAGCAAGTGGAAGAAGTGGTTCTTCAGCATAGCCAATGATAGGACCAACTGTTTTTGAATCTTGAACATCCGGAATTACTAAGCGAGAGTTTCTACGCCGAACTCGCAATTCAGTATGTTTACTCATATTTTTGAATTATCGTTTTGTTGATTAATGCCTAAATATATGGACGATATTGAATATGTCTTGCAGTATCTGTAACAAGAAAAAGATATATGAAAATAAAGAAAGAAATAATCGGTAGACTTTTTCTTTTGAAATGCATCTACAAGAACTATTTTGTAAACGAAAATAGCTTCATATATATCGAATAGTTAGACTCAATAAACAAAATCCCAGCTATTAAAGCAGAATAAGCATTTTATAAGAATTTGATCTGCTGAGAAAAAGCATTCTGTATTGTTCTTCATTAATGTATATGAAAGCAAAAATGAAGAAAATATGCACGAGAATATACTTTTAGGTATTTCTTACTATGCCAATCATTTGTTCAATGCATTGAAGGTAGTAAAAAAGAAAAAAAAACTATGCTGTATTCAAATCTTTGGTGAAAATAAACATGTGAACATAAATGACAGACATAAGTGAAAAAGACCATATCTTTCTCTATCTTACTGTGATTTATCAATGCATGTCTATGATAATAATAATATGTTCCATTTGAAGAAATATTCTGGATCGATTTTTGCAAAATAATCTTCGAGTCTTCCTAGATTATAAAATCAAGTGTGCTAGAAACGATAACTAAAACCAAAGTATCGCTATTTGTATCAATACCAGGTTGGTTTCAACATTCTCATTCAATATCCATTTTTAAAATCACTTTTCCTTTTATTTTCTATTCATGTGCATCTTGGTGCTGATGTGTTGTCAGATTGCGAAGTAGGTTTGAAAACTCTATCGTATATCCTTATCTATACTTTAGAATTCATATTTCTCAAGTCTTATTTCAGTTTCTGTTCTTTTTATAGTACTTCTAACCAATCTACTTTCAATTACTTCATGAGATTGAGTGAAGCATTTCTTTTAATTCTTTCACTGGTACTTGATGATGCAGTTTCAAACTCAATTAAATCTATCGCGCGCATATCTCGATGCGCCGAATGATACTTACTACAATTTGAGAACTCTCTGGTCCATTAAAAGCTAATTTACACTATTGTCGATTGGATATCACACCTTTTCAGGTGCCTGATTTCAAGATTAATTTAGTTCAATACTGATATATCGACTCTCAGAAATCGAATGTGAGTTTTCCAAGTCCGTTGTAATCAAATGGGGCTACTAAAAATTAAATGCATAGGGTGATTGTGGATAAATAATATAAAAAGCGTTAATTGTCTGATTTGTGTACCAACGACATAAAGAACTGTTACTTGTAGACAATAAATATAAGACTATCTACCAAAAACAATGAATCATTTGTCAGAAAATAACGGTCTTATCGGAATTTTGTCCCATTCTCAAAAGGTTTACTGTGTCTAATATACTGGCAGAAGAAAATGAAATGTAACAAGCTGCATTTTTTGTATTTTTGCAGAGTTTTCTGATTTCAGTATTGTAATTCTTCATTTACGAATTTTTCTTTAAAGATATACACTCGAAAGTTGGTTTCCAAGTTTTAGAAGGTACATCACGAACTTCAAAGCAATTTAGATTCTCTATTACAATATGGTTCTTTGGTTCCTGTCGCAAGTCGTGATAGAGTTTTCACAATAGAATGCAGAAAACGTTTTTTGATAATATCTCATGTGAACGAGTAGCATCGAAAGTTAAACTTTCCATACAGTTCTTAATGACCTCCTTGTATCTATAAGAGGGTAATGGATCACACAAATACAATTTTGATTATTCAAAAAAAATGTTTTCACTAACATAAAATTCCATCATCTTTTAGTCTACAGATAAGTGAATTGTCATCCGATGAACGTTATTCGTTTTTTTATGAAAATAATTTATGATATGCTTTGACGTCCTGAATATAGCAATAAAAAAGAACTATGTGCTATTAGGGACGTTTCAGAAATGTTGTCATGCAGTTTTCATAGCTTCTCTAATCTTTCTTCTGTATCATATTTCTTGGCGATAATCTATTTGATGTTTTATGTGACTACTTGAAAGGTGTTGTCTCTGCGTGTTCCACTTGCTCGGATACCCTAAAGGATATGTTATAATAAAGCGATCTTGTTCATAGAATTTTCAGTAGCATCAGCATGATTAAGGAATTCATATCGTACAAGTCGATGCGGGATGTACTTTTTACGTGACTAAGCTAACAAAGTCAAATTTTTCTCATATCACATCAAGAAAACGAGACAGGTATGTTGTTCGTATAAGTTGGAAACTTCCAACCACATAATCACATCTGTGAGTCATTTTCACTAACATTGCAACTTCACACAAGCTCAAACTTGTAACCATAACCTATGTTTTCAGTTCAGACAATATCCAGTTCGAGTTCGAGTTCCTGACGTATCATTGCTGTTGATATCTTCCAATATAGTCAGATAGCGTCGAAATAGGATGAGAAAACGATAAAAAAGACTTTTCGCTGGACAAGTTCAATTAGACTTAAAAAAACAAAATCTTGACACATGACAGTATTTAGGTATTTCATCATGAATATCTTAAATGATAGTAAATAGTGAAAAAACGACACGATTGGTACCGTCACGGTCCTTGTTTTCGTCAGTGTCAATAGCAGCGTTTAACATTATTTCCGAGCAAGAAGTTAACGGTATTCCCACTGTATTGTGAAAGTTTGCCGCCTTATTTAACACCCTTTTCTTCAATTACTACTACTCACTAATGACAGCTCATCGCATGCCACCTTTACTTAGTACACCTAAAATTGTTAATCCCAATCAAACAGGCACACAAGAAAATATAGGAAATAGAATTGAGACGTAACATAAACATACAAGGTGATCGAGAATCCCACGCTCTATCCGAATATATACAGTAGTCGGAAGAAACTTCATATCCAGATGAAAACTATACATATCAAACCTGAAAAGTTGTATTCAACTATTCAACTATTCGAATAGTCAAATACTTGAATATCTGGAGTTCAATTATTGGAATAATTCAATAGGACTAAAGGGAAGGATTTATCATTTGTTGGACATTTTCGTAAAGACCATCGTATCTCCTTTATTTTGAAAATAATTTTTTACTAATTTTAGCCCATAGATTATTCCGACATTATGCTTTCAAATCAGGGATCATGCGAAGTAGAATGTCGAGAAATGTTTGAGGTACGACTTTTATAAGATGATAATCCTTCTAAACTGATAGCTTCAGTATACATTTAACCAATCGAGAGCAGAATGGGGCCTTCAATCACGGTTTACTTAGTTATATCTATGGTAAAAGTATAAGCCCGAGTGCTTAAACTTTAGAGGGTTTTCATTCGAGTATGGGACTTTTTGTGACTACGGTAATCACTTTTCCGTATAACTATTTCCATAGTGATGATAAACTTAAAAAATCAATTTAAGAGACGACGCTAAAAGCTGAAGTGTGGGCATCTGATACAGCAAATGATTATATTGCAGTCGATTCAGTTTTCATCCGGTAGATGTAAAAAGAATGCATAATTGTACAAAAAGATAGAACACATCGTGCACTATCAGAATATATGATTACTTTCATTAGCACATATTTCTGTCGTGACAATATCTTTCAAAAACCGTCTAGAACTGCTTTATTTCAACGAAGCGTACATGCATGTATAAACTCTTTTTTTGGGACAAATCACTAAGTGATATGGGCAGTATTTAGCAATATTCATAAGTATATCGGCATACGATGCGTCTATACACTCTGTTTTTTCAGTGAGGAACTAATGAATGTAGTGGTTATCTAGCACTATTTAGATTTACATATAGATATATATGTATGTACCTTCTCCTTTCCGATATGACTAGATGATACATGAGGCATTCAGCATAATGCATATGCATTTATATATAAACTAAAATCTTTCTATAGTAGATATTTTGCGGATTTTTCAAAGCAGTCCACTATACAGAGTTGTTCACTGTAGGAAGATTGAGTTTTTTTAAAAGAAAAGTTTTTTTGCAAGTCACACATTAGCTCTCTCGTTATTTCTAGGGTGTTGGTGAATAAAATCATAAGGTATTGCTAATATTACATCTCTTTTCATCTTTTTTCCAGAAAATTAACAGTTGTTAAAATATAGTAAAGTTTTCTCGTCGTCGACATCATTGGAACCTGTCGAAGGTGGCTACCACAGAACAGTATGAAATTGTGTAATAAAGGAAGCTTCAATTCCAACGAAAAATTCATAGCTGCAGCTTTAAAGGGGTCCACTATGAAAGGTTTGAGTGTATATCAACGTGAAGCCGCTATTCTTTTATGGTTGGCATGCTCCTGTTAATCTGTTTTAAGTCTAAATTTATTTTACCTGTAAATTTCACGAATTCAAGTGTGTTTTAAAGTTAAATATAAGCTATATTACTTCAAATCCAACTTAAAAGCATTTGTTTAACCCTGATCACAATGTACTAATTTTTGATTGAGATCCATTTAAATCAGAATTCAATGCAATATAAATGCGTTAAAATTGATTAAAATGGTTTCAAACTCATCTTTAATTGGTTTAATTCAATAGAAATGCATTTAAATAAAATTGAAGCCCATGTAAATCAATTTTAATCTGTTTAAATTCAATTTTTATCCATTTAATTGAGTTCAAATGCATTTAAGTTCGATTTATATCTATTTAATTAGGATTAACAGGAAAATACAAATGGATTACCATTCCTTTAAATGAGTTCAAATCCTATTTAAGTGTATTTGAATTCAATATAAATGGGTTCTTTAACCAATCGAGACACATTTAAATTGAATTTAAACTGATTTAAATGAGTTAGGTGAAACTTTACTGTATTTAAATCTATTTATATTTCATTTAAGTGCATTTTAAGTTAATTTAAATCCATGAATTTGAATTTAAATACATTCAAATTGATACAAATAAACCTAAGTGTTGTCTGACAGAATTTAAATTGAATGCAAACAGCTTTTAATTCAGTTGAAATGCACTAAAATCTGAATTAAGCTCGTTAAAACGTAGGGTGGGTGTGCGTATATTCTTTCTCTTCACAAACACTCCACACCCACGCCCCTGCTTCAGACCTTTCTTATTATATAAGTACTGTTGAAGAAAAATGTGATGTTTGTTATCAGCACACTTAGTGTTATCAAATTTTAAAGAATTTATTAGAACGACGATTGAAAATTTTTTTCAAAACGTCAGGGAAACTCTAGATGTGAACAATTGAGTCGTAAGAAAGTACAAAATCAACTAGAGCAAAATAATCAGAACTCAATTCTTTGATCTTCGAACTCGTTCCGTTGGATTATCTCTCATTGAAAAATCCCTTATTCCTTTATTTTATATTGTTTTTTTTAAGATAAATGATGCAATTATGAAGGAGAAAAAAGCGAGATTCCATAAGTTCGAATATAGCTGAAGTACAATGGAGTCCAGTGAGTACGTGCTCCTCGTACTCCAGCTAGACTCCACTGTACTTCAGCTGTACTTGAGCTGTACTCCAACTTGCGGAGTCTCGCTTTTTTCTCCGTGATTTATCTTTACCCTTCAGTATTAATGGTAGTAAAGAAAAAGTACCACCCCTAAACGGAACGAGAATTGTTTCCCAGAAAATTATGGAGTACTTATTTTTCATGTAGCATCTTATTCAGTTTTCCGCAAGGCCAAACTTCTTCGAATGGTTAAAGAATAGAACTGTGAACAGTTTTATTTCTAAGATGGAAATCACAAACCAGATTGACAATAATAACTAAAGATCCTTTGTGAGGTAATTAGCTTTACAGTAGCTGATTTTCGCTGTTCATTTCGTAAAGGATCTCGAAACGTTTTCTGCTTCCAGAAAATAGGTACTATGGTAAGAACATAACCCTACACATTGTAGATGACACCGGTTTACCACAGTAAAATCTCGTCTATGTGCGTTATTAAAAAGACCTAAAGAGACAACGGTGTTACATATACATACATTTGCTTGTTATTTTCGTAGATAATATTGCTTGGTCACGACGAGAACATCACTTTCGTGTCGATCTTGTTCTGTGCTTAAACTAAAGCATAATCTTGTTTATATATATTTAAACAAGCTATTTTCCTTCGCGCATTCAACCTTATCGCGAAAAATGATGAGAATAATACAAACACGTGACTTGTTCTTTTCGCTGTGGAAATTTAATGATTGCTTGCTTGCTTGCTCTTTCATTCGTCGTTCGTACAGCCGAAAAGGACCCCTGCATAAACAAACCGATGAGCAGCAAAGAGTACGCAAAATGACGATAACTATATTTTCATGTTATATCTTTTTTTTTTGGTAGCGCATTTTACCTTTCTTTTGCTTCTTCATTCACTCGTCCTTCATACTAATACGATACTAATACGAAAACGACGCTTTACAATCTGCGCAAAATAATCACATACATATAGTCAAAACAGAACTTTTTTTTTCTTTGTAGGAAATGTAAGCTTGAATTGATTGAATATTTTGATTGTTCATTTTATATATTTTTTTGCATGCCTTGATTAAAGCGTTACAATGAAATAAAAACGAATCAGTTGAACTAATTATAATATTTGTATAATAGTTATTTGAATAAAATAATGATTTAAAGTATCCACACTTGAATTTATCCACTTCAGACGTTGAACAACTAACGTTCATCGACATCGAAGGTCGATTCACTGGGTCCTAGACTGACGGAATGAAGAAAAGGATATGCTTCACATTGAGCACCCACACTCAATGAAGCGACTCGTCTCCCTCCCCAACTACTCGCATTTCCATACGTGCATTTGAAACAACGTCATGATTTACGACTATAAACAGTTATTGGCCACTAGAATGGTCATTTATGTCATGAAAACGGTCACTTGTGCCATAAAAATGGTCCATTGTGCCACTGTTACAGACAGACAGACACAAATGAATTTCGGTTTCTAGACTCTATCCTTTCAGTCTAGGGAATATGTTAGTGAGACGGCTAGATGGTGAAACTGCTAAGAATTATGCACTAGTGGTTCTCTTTCTCTATTCCATTATCAACATCTTTCATTCTCGTTATGATGGAAAAAGGCAGAAAGAAAAAATGTCGAACGATGAAATGTCAAAAGCAAAATTTTAAGAAAATAAGAAATCATTAGGATGAACACCTTGACCCATCGTTAAGAAATTTATTGAATACAAAACTTTGAGGACAGGATCATTCATGGCCTAATTAAAATGATAAATAAATTAACGAAATATCCGAGCTACAGATGAAAAGAGTGAATCATTTTTTTTGACGAACTATCTTTCGAGACTACATAGGACAAATTTTTTCAAGAGTTCACCAGCAGTACCCCCCCCAATGTCTAAATTTGTTTCAAACCAATTTTTTTTTAATTCGTTATTTTCATTAATTGTCTGTATTTCAATAGTTTATTTTAATTCATTTCACGAATTAAATGTATATAAAAAACAAGATTAATAGCTCAAAAATACAATAAAACTAAAAGTTTCAAGTCAATAATTAAATTTCTTCGAACGTTGGTTTTAACCATTCAGCAAGATCATGTATAATATATATATTCTTTAATTGGTCGTCAGCTGATTTGTTAATTGATTGTAGTGTCGGTTCATGATGTTCATTTTCATCACTGGATGAAATTTCTGTATCAATAATTGTTATTTTTGACTTATGTATTTTGCAATGATTTTTTCGTCTTTCCATAGTAGGAAAATATTTGTTGCATATGTTACATATTCGTTTTGGAATTGATTGTTTAACTGATGTACAAAAATAATCAAATGGAACTGATGAAGAATTTAGTTCTTTGTGAATAAGTTTGCTCAATTGCAAACGTTGAAATAATGAGCCACAGAATCGGTCTTGTTCTGAATCACTTTCAGCAATAACAAGACCCGATGAGCCCTGTACGAATGGAACAGGTGGTGGTAAAAAACGTTGAGAAAAGACTTGAAGATAATTTGAGCGCCACTCACCACAACAATCTTGTGAATTACAACGAACGATTTGTAATGTATATTGTGATTGTAATACATGACGATCACACCAACTTTCATCAATTTTTGAAGATACTTGTGAAGTAAAAGATGAATTCACATAAGAAGCAACAACAGGATGAGAATCAATAACTGTATTTGACCAAGCTTCAGCAAGTACTTCACCAGCTTTTTTGAAATTTTGTTTTTCCAATTCAAGATCAATTGTGTTGCCATTAGCATCAAGATGAGTACCAAAATGATCATGAGGTAAGATAAGACCAGATAAATCATGCGATAAAGGCGCCATGCGACGCTCAACGGCATTAAATGCTGATTGTCCAGGTGCATGAGTAAGTACAAACAATGCATCGAGATTGTGAGTTTTAAATATATCAATTGATGAAGCAAGTGTTTTTGGAAAACGAGGATTTTCATCAGGTCCACCATCGACGGTTATAATAACAATAGGTTTAACGTTATTTGAAGAATCAAGTGCAGCCGAGTTAAATTCTTGTAACTTAACTAAACGATTAAAATCATCTCGATGATTAGCTGATATACTTTTATCATGTTTAGCTGAACGAATAGCAATATATGTCGGACCTGAATAACCAACATCCCCAGCATTATTAATTAAACATGCAGCATATACACTAAAAAAGACCAAATAGTTTGCTAAATATCTTCTAAAAAATCTAATTTAGGCTATCTTGGAGTTAATTGATGACGACATGCTACAACAAAATCATGATCTGGTAAGGACGGGGGCGCATAAGACCGTAATTTGGCCCATTGGACTTTTCATACTATATCCAGCACAATCATATATAGGATAAAAGAGCTTCAACTGGCGAGTACTTTCCAATACATTTGACGACTTCCTACCTTATGATTTCGAATGATCTTATTACGAATACATAGTAATTACATGACAACCTTTCAGATTAGTTTTCTCTATATAAATTCAAGAAAGTCAGCTTCAA